TGTTTTTCTCGTTGCCATGTTCCCACCAATAACGTAGCTCCATTTTCTGCCTTTAAAAGCACACACAACCCACAATTCCTCTATTCGCTCCGACGAAGGGCTAACGCTCGAAACGTCAGCTTTTGTAATCGTTACGGTGGCCAATTTACCATTTCAACTTTGTTGATATATCCAAATTATTTCGTTACCCCCACCGATGCAGCCCCAAACAGTTTCTTTGGAAACGATTGGCCTTTATTCAGGGGTGTATAATTCGGACAAGGGAGCAAGATATATTGGAACAATGGAGTACATCTTAGTGCAGTAGCAAGACACCACCCTGGAAAGATAACACGAAACGATTTCTCATTATTATAGCAATAAAGTTATAAATGACGAAATAGGTGAATAGAGGAGTAAGTGAAGCAAAGGTGAAGAATTGATATATCAGTCATTAGATAAACACCCTATGTGTCATAGATTCAAGACTGATGTTATTAGATCATTTGAATCTTAGCTCTTTCTTTCTTAATTAGTGATTAAAGATCTTTTCAAATGAGATATCTGATCAAATTTGATGTTCAACTTTAAGTGTAACATGTCTTAGAATACAAATTACGTTATTTAGAGTTTCAGTTGCTAGACGTTAAGAAATTCTGTTGTTAAAAGTTCCCTTTTAGGTTTTCGAAGCTTACTGTTGCATGCTTAAATAAGACAACCAACGAGTTCTAGTAATTTTGCATATTGTATGATAAGTGCTACGTTAATGACCACTCAAAGGTCACGAGGAAGGTTTGGGAAATGTACGCCAAGATTTTTAAAGGATTATATGGAAAAAGGCAAAGATCCACACCGAAGATCTTCGGCGTAAAATGGTTCAGAATGTAGCCTGGCGAATACAGTGGCATCGTTTGTTTTGAAGTAAGAGTCTTTCATGGTTCGTTCTTCGTAACCTACAGAACACAACAAGTAAGTCTTCATAATGTATCTATTTAATCTCGTTGTTCGGGTTTGCTGCTTTCCATAGGGCTAAGCTCACCGCAGCTTGCAATTGATGAGGAATCGACAAAGCGCTTTTTTTCCCCCACCATCCCCCAACACTTCTTATACTCATAAATGCTACGCATTCACTTGTAAAAATGGCAGGAAACTCACACAACCTCACAGATTTCTCCAAAGTTTTTCGAGTCTTCCATAGCACCTCTCCCTCTAGGTATGGCTCTATAAACAGTCGGTCACTCCCGACAACAGCAACTACAAGATGAATTTTTGCATAGGTGTATACGCTTTTTTATTCTCCCCATCCTTGATCTCAGATTGTTTTAGTAATTTCTCGATTAACTCTTTGTTTTTGCGTTTTTAACAGCGTGGGCCACATCTTCAGAATAACAGATGAGGTCTGCATCAAGTAGCAAACAGAAACGTAGATAACTTAACGTTGGTGCACCCATTATCAAGGATCTTTTTCGATACAAAACTTTTTTTTATTATAATAATAGGACTGAGTGGAGTCCAATTGCGTGTGTAATCATAACTGGTAGAACAAAATCGGACGACCGCGAAGCGGGAGTCCGATTTGTTTATCACGAGTCTTATCCTCAATTAATCACAAAAATTACAATTCCGAGAAAGAAGAATAGCTAAGTTATGAAAGAAAGGGGCGATTTGCATAAATAAAATAAAGCTGTGATAGGTTGATTTAAACTAAAGCTTCTACTGTGATTGTTTCATTTAAAATACGACTTTGAATGATTTGGTTTTTGAACAGTTCGATAACAAACTGTCCAATGTCAAATTAGCAAGTGAATTGGTGAAACTAAAAGTATTTTTGAATCGATCACAATTGAGGAAAATGTAATTTTTTTTCATAATTACAAGTGGAAGCCCTCTGAGCGTGCTATTTTCCTCAGTCCCAAAGTTCTTGTTGTTGTGTTGTTGTTGTTGTTGTTGTTTATTATTATTTTTATAGAACATTACAAGCAAATTTACACAACCCGCATATAGCATTAGCTAGTCTTGGCGGGTATTAGAAATAAATAAGTAAATACTACACATTGCAAGCTAAAGAAGTTTGATTACCACAATAAACTAAAGAGATTTTACAGTAAACTAAAGAGATTTCAAAGTCATGCGAAGGATCCCTTTTCAACTGGTTGATTTTCGGCTTTGAACTATTTTCACGCATATCCTTTGGGTGCTTCTTTGGGCATGGACCTTAACCTTGATAACCATTGAACCCTGAAGTTATTGAGCTAAGCTAGATACAAATTTGATTATCAAAAGGAGGGAGGACGCTTTATAACAATCGTCTTCCTTAACAGATATGAATTGCGAAATAGGAAATGAGTCTTGTGGTCTTGGTCTTCTAAGCAGGATGCCTTCACCGCTGGTAGAGTAACCTTGGCAGTGCACGATTTCATGTTAAGTTCAGACAGCTTTTTTCAAATATTTTTTCCCTATAATTATCTCAAAATACATGCACACATTAGGACGTTACGCCAAAAAAAATTCATATCATTAGTTTGCTCGAACATGTTTGGTCAATGAAGAGATTTTAGTTTTCGCCATGTCAGGATTAGTAAGACACAAAGTCATTTCTCCCCAGGAACTTTCCTTCATTGTTTCCGTCAAACCCCCACCTCTGCCTCCCAACCCGGCTGGCAAATAACGGTGCTTGAGATGAATATTTAATGAACTCATCAATTCCTAGTTTTTCAAAGCAATTTTCAAGAGACATTGTGCAAATTTCTTACAGGTGCCTGGTAGGTATCATATGACAACCTTAATCAATTAGCTCATTGCCTGACAACTATGACACTGACACCAATATCTTATGAGACAACAGCAATTAGTTGCTACTATGGAAAGGAAGAAAACTAATTACTTCTGCGCCGCATTTCGAAAAACATTTTCAACAAAAATATGAAAACTATCTACATAAGAGACGAAGATATTAACTCTTTATGGTTGATATTAAAGTATCAACGTATGTTTTTGTGTTTCCAACGAAGAGAGACGCTGAAATGGAGGAGGGGTAGGGGTGGCAGTTTTGTTTTAGTCATTTCGCGACACTGTGTATATTGGACCTTGTGCATTATGATAGGAAGCAGAGGGTTATTAGGGTGAGATACTTCACTTCGAATTTTGTCATTATGCAAAAAATACTGCTCGCTTGTTATTTTAGTGAAGCTGAATGTTACTTGAATCTATTAAAAACCATTTTTTAAGTTACGTTTTACCTAAAATCCCCCTCGGGAAAGACTCTCACAGACAATTTACGAGCATTTTGCGTGGATAATATTATAATATTATTCTCGCTATAATCATTTTGATTGTAGCTAGAAGTTTATTCGAAAAAAGTTTATTATTATTTATCAAAATCATTCCGAAAATACAGCTAGGGAAGAAGACGAAGAATCGTAAGAAACGCTCGTAGAAAACTGAAAAAAAAAAAAAAACAAAAATAAACATCCATCGGTAGAATTAGCACGTAGAGTAAAAATTCATACATTATATATGATAACTTGAGACAGCATGTGGTGGTTGGACTTACAAAGCACGGACACAATATCATTTGTTGGAGATATATATATTTATCCTCTGAATTGTCTAACAATCGAAATGTGATATGGAGAATAAGGATGGAGGAAGAAAAAGTACAGAATAGAGAGAAAAAAAAGACAAAAAAAAGAAGAAAAAAAGAGAGAGAGAGAGTTATGTATATTGAGACAATAATGAAAATTGTCGACAGGTGTAGTAGCTTTTATTGGCTGAGGAGAAATTGAATATCCATGACAAACAAGACATTACTAACCTTGAATTACTTAAAAAGTTGAGCATAATTTAAATGAGTTATGAAAACGTTTGCGCCATGCGTTCCCTTCATATCTGCGTATTTCTAGCATGCTCCATGGTAATCGTGTTTGCCACATCACAAGGTAAATTCAAGCAATTTTCTTTTCACCCACGGAAACATGGTCTATCAGTTCCTTTCTGCGGGCTAGCTAGTCGTTTCTGCATACAGTTCAGTTCGCTCAGTTATCACATTGACATATAAATATTTTTCCTCTGACATCAATCTAATACAGATAGTTAAATCGGCTATAAATGCTCCTTATTCTCCGAAATGAAAACACGTTTCCGCTTAGGTTCTCTTTTAAGCATCCGGCGAAGTTTCTTTCCTGAAAAAGCCTGAAAAAATGTCCATGCGTCATTCTTTGAATGATGTCAATCAAGAAAGTTTGCTACTCCTCAATTTTACTTTAAAGTGCCAGAACGTTGAGTAATAATGCTTTCATCATTAGATATGTGTTATTGACCAAACCTGAAGTAAAGATCGCTGGTTATTGACGGAGACGAAGTCGATGTCCATAAAAACACAAAATTAGAACAAGTCTAATATCCCGCCATTTTGACTGAACAGGCTTGGTCAACAGAGGGTTAATTATAGAAGAAAAATATTTCGTTTTGATAATAATCAAGAACTGTTTCTTCTCGAACGTTAGTAAAAAAATGCCAACAGGGATGGCACTTGCTCGTTTTCATTTGACACGTTGGAAAATTAAGTGACTTGATAAGTTCTCTTTAAAAAATGTACACAAAAGCAAATCCGGTTCTTGCTCAGGAATGACACTGGGGCCATCTTGCCCACTCAGGTGGCCTATAATAACGTAGGATTCGCATCATCTCGCGCTGCCAGCTATATGGTAAATACTATCATCACAATTTTGTTAATTGCATTGATATTCATTATATTCTTAACTTTGATGACTTCTCTGAAGCAGACCAATACCGTCAGTTGAAATTCCGGTCTGAAAAAGCGTTTGACAGCAAACGCTTCATAAACCACGTGGTTCGCATCACTGTGGTCATGGTAATGGAGTTCTGTGAAACCATGTGTTATATGGAACCCAACTGTGTCAGCATTAATATCGATAAACGACAGGATGGAAATAGAAAGTACAAATGTGAATTGAATAATGTTACTCACGAAGGACACAAAGACGACTTGATAGAAAATGGAAATTATTCTTACCATGCAGCTGAGGTAAGTAAATTATCCATGTAACCTCAGAAACAGCGTGGTGAACAGATAGAAAGTGCAGGCTTAAATAAATCGTAACCCTTCATATCTAAGCTTTGTAAACTTTATATGTGAATTTTCTACTTCTAATGGATTTCATTGCAAGTTACTCAGTGGTGATGATTGTATTACTAATAGGTTTACTTATTTACCTTTTGGTCAGAGCGCTTGTGTAAAAAACTCTTGCAAGAACAACGCCACTTGTCAAAGTGGTTTTACTGACAAAGGATATCGCTGTTTGTGTACTGCTGGATTTAAGGGTCAGTCATGTGATGAAGGTAAATGTTGTTCCCCTCTCTCCTAACTTTTAATTAAACACCTCTGCGTGTACGAGTACAGTCGGAAATGTTATCGATGCCCTTTCTTTTCCCTTATTGCATTTTTTATTTTGCCTTTCAGATATTGATGAATGTGCAACATCTAATCATGGCTGCAGCACCACTGCTGTGTGCAAGAATACTAAGGGATCGTACAACTGTACATGCAAACCTGGATATTCTGGTGATGGACGCACTTGCAAAGGTATATTCCATACACTTTAAGGTTTCTTACTTTTGAATCAGAAGGAAGAGTATCTTAAAAAACTTCCATTCCTCGATGGAATGGTCACTATTTGTCATGACTAACTTGTGCAGTATCTTTTTAGATATTGATGAATGTGCCGTTGGAAATCACGAGTGTGATCCCAATGCCGTGTGCAACAACACCCGGGGATCACATAATTGCACATGTATGATTGATTATTGGGGAGATGGAAAGACGTGCATTAGAAAGGGTGACCCGCTATGTAAGATGTACTTTAGCCCCACCTTTTAATTATTTCTAATGCATCTAAGCGTAAAAAATCATTGTAACTTACATATAGTTTCCAAAGGAGGACATTATCATAACTCTTAGAAAATTGGCGGACTTGGGCGAAAGAGGTGAACATACAGATCGTCTGAAATTTATAACAAAACACTGTATTATTTACAGCCATAGTAGCAATAACTGCCAAAATCAGTTTTAGTTATTATTTTCTTTTACAAAAGAGCTTATTCATATATCCATTCGTTCCTCTTTTACTATTGTCTTCCATTATGTTGGGAACTGAACCAGTTTCTACCTGCAAGGAAGTGTATGACAGAAACATGTAAGTTGGTGTTTAATTTGCTATTAATAATATTTCCACACCAATATGAAATTAATCAAGATTAGCTTGCAGAGGGAAAACATCATATTTTGTCAATTTGTATATGTGCACGATCCTTCGCAGTAAAGCAATATTTAAGCAATAGTGAAAATCAGACCTGAAAAAAATTCAGGCCTGTACGGGATACGAACCACTGACCTCTGCGATACTAGTGCAGCGCTCTACCAATTGAGCTAACCAGCCAACTGGGAGCAGGCCATCGAATTAATTCGACATAAACCCGTAGATGATAAATCAAACAACAAACATATGAAATACATATATATGAACTGCGGTTATGAAACGTATATGTGGACGATCCTTCGCAGTAAAGCACTATTTAAGCAATAGTGAAAATCAGACCTGAAAAAAATTCAGGCCTGTACGGGATTCGAACCACTGACCTCTGCGATACTAGTGCAGCGCTCTACCAATTGAGCTAACCAGCCAACTGGGAGCAGGCCATCAAATTAATTCGACATAAACCCGTAGATGATAAATCAAACTTTCATAACCGCAGTTCATATATATGTATTTCATATGTTTGTTGTTTGATTTATCATCTACGGGTTTATGTCGAATTAATTTGATGGCCTGCTCCCAGTTGGCTTGTTAGCTCAATTGGTAGAGCGCTGCACTAGTATCGCAGAGGTCAGTGGTTCGAATCCCGTACAGGCCTGAATTTTTTTCAGGTCTGATTTTCACTATTGCTTAAATAGTGCTTTACTGCGAAGGATCGTGCACATATACGTTTGAGAACCGCAGTTCATATATATGTATTTCATATGTTTGTTGATTGTCAAATTTGAATAACTCGTTTTGGAAGTTTATTTTATTCGTTCCTTTTCCGTCAGCTTTTGCCAAGGATAATTTTTGAAACACAAACATTACTATTTTTTTCCTTATAAATTAGTTGCCAATAGTGTAGCTTGATGTATATCGTGTTAGAATGGTGCTAAAGAGGATTGTTGTCACCGACCTTTTGACAAGCTATGCGAAAGGCATAATCAGATTCGAGTATTTCATCCACCCCTGAAAAATCTTAAAATACACATCGCTGCACTGTTACTACTTTAGGTACCAGAAAACGGTTTCTCTCGAGATTAATATGATTTAAGTGGTTTAGACTGTCATTTATCGAATCAAGACCTAGAGTACAAGTACATTCTTGAATGCAATTATTTTCAGCAGATCAACTGTGGGTAAAGTGGTGATATTAAACATCGATTCAAAACCAATCTCCGTTTTCTGTCACAAGAAAATCGATGGATGCGGTGACGGGGGATGGACGCCGGTCATGAAAATTGATGGCGATAAGGTTTTATTTCTTTCTTCAATTGTCTATTTCTGTCTTGCATAACGTCTTGTTTGTGCTATGTTCAACACATCTTGAGATTTAACCCGCACCCAGTACGTTTAGAATACTTCTAGGATCGGCTATGTCCATTTTGTTACATTTACCTATTTTTTAAGTTCATTTAACTATTTATTTGTGTATTCATTCATTTACTTATCGTGTTCATTTCAGGACACCTTCCACTATGACTCACACTATTGGACTAATAAGAACGAATATAACCCTCTTGGCGGACAGACTGCGTTTGACAGGCATCAGACTAAGTTATTGACTTACTGGAACACGCCCTTCTCTAAGATCTGTTTCGGTATGAGATTTGACCAACAGGTCAAGTTCATTGTTATCAAAAAACAAGCTGACTCTCTGTACTCGCTGATCGCTGACGGGAAATATCGCAACACGTCACTGGGTCGTAAGAGTTGGAAGGGGCTGTGTGGTTCGAAGGGTTCCCTACAACCCCACTGTAACAGGGAAGGCTTTAATGCCTTCTCTGAGGAACGTAGTCACTCTAGAGCAAGAATAGGAATACTTGGTAACAATGAAAATGATTGCAAAACTTGTGATTCCCGAATTGGGTTTGGCACTGGGGGATATCCTGACGACTCTATCACGTGTGGAAATGCAGCCTCGTGGTGGTTTGGATCGGACAAAGGAGGGAGCTATATTAGGACAATGGGGTACATCCTAGTGCAGTAGAAAAGCACCACTCTGGAAATATACCACAAAACCATAAAATGGTGTGACTGGAATCTTAAACTCCTGTTACTCATTATTATAGCAATACAACTACCAATGAATAAATAGGCGAGTAGATTAGTAAGTAGACGAATACGACAAATTAAAGAATCAGTCATTAGATAAACACTCTATGTGTCATAGATTCAAGAATTAAACTATCAAATGATTTGAAATTTGATCATTTTTCGTATAATCAGCAATGAAAGGTATATCTATTAAAGTAACGTGTTTAAAATTATAAATTACTTTATTTAGCTTTATTTGCCAAAACTTCAGGTATACTGTTGTTAAAAGTTCCTGTTTAGTTTGACGAAGCTTACCGTTGTGTGTTTGAATAAGACAATCAACGAGTTCAAATAATATTTTCGTGTATGATAAGTGCTGAGCTGGTGCAACGTTGAATCCGTGATAATTTAAGTTTAAATAAGTTCCCTAAAATGTAAAGAACAGTCAGACTTTTTCTAAACAAGTTTTGGATTACATGATAAGTAGGCAAGCTTAGAATGGAAACAGCCTACGAAATAACACTCAAAATATTAGTATGTGTAATCAAATGGCGACGGGGGAAATTAGGAAATAATTTCACGCGCGTTTTGTCAAAATTCTGATAATTTCCCGAGCCTTTAAGCCAGGGAAATTATCAGAGTTTTGACAAAACGCAAGTTTAGTTATTTCCTAATTTCACGAGAAAACCATTTGATTACCTTTCAATATCGTGGGTGACAAATTACGTTCACAACCGTAATTGTTTTTACTGGTTTATTCTATCGAAAACCGAGAACGTGAAGAAGAATATAGTTTTCGATTAAAGCACACATTATTGTTAAAGTTCGTAATTTTCTGAGATTCTTCACAAAAAATACCTTTCGAATTCTTCGTCCATGTTAATAATTTTCGGCCGCTTCTCTTAATTTTGTAACTTCTTCAAGGGTCACCGTCTTAAATATCGACGCTATCTTGGCTCTGATTGAGATACAAGAGATGTTACCAAGACAGTTTTGTAATTTCACATATGAAATTAAAAATTAATGCTGAAATTTCGCGCCAAAATTAAGGAGTAATTTGTCACCTATGATATTAATCTGGGGCGGATTCAGGATTTAGTCAAGGGGGGTTCGGAGAATTGTTTCCCTTTTGAGGGGTCCAAGATTTTGAAAATTAGGTCTTCGGAAACATGATTTCCAGCGTTCTGAGGGAAAATTTAGGGGGTTCGACCGAAACACCCGAACCACCCCTGGATCCGCCCCTGGATCCACCCCTGGATCCACCCCTGGATCCAACCCTGGATCCACCCCTGGATCCACCCCTGGATCCGCCCTAGATTAATGCAAAAACAAAACAGAAAGCAAGGCTAGGTATGTAAAAAATATGCGAATAAACATATTAATGGCAAGTGTCTTACATCAAAATATTGCCTCAGTTTTTGATGGGGGAAAATGACGGAATCTTCCAACTGTTCTATCTCAGCAGGAATATTATTCATATGTACTAAAGACTATTACTAAAGCCTAACCCACCAGACTTATGAAAATTAATCATTCAGATATTTAAAAGTGACTTAATCAAATATGCACATATCTCACGTTATATTTAATATTCTCCAGAGGTAATATTCATTATATTAGTATTATGTCATTATATTAGTATTATGTCATTATATCTCACTCGGGGGGCATAGAAATGCCTTTAAGGAATCGAATTCACAAAATTTTCAAAAGAAAAAAACACTCTGTATTTGACAAAACTCTATTGAGCAATTTAGACCAATGTTTACGAAACGCTGATCGCGAGGTGCATTCATTTATTGAACTAGGCAGGGCACCAGATAATATGCGTCAAATTAAATAGATCATTATGTAAACTATGCAGGTCAGGTTTTTCATTATACATGTCTTGCCTGCCTTGAATCAAAGCCGTTTCCGACCAATTTCTCCCATGTGAAACAGTACATAGATAAAAATATCATGTCATCCAGAAGAACTACTATCGAAGCCTTTCGCGTGATGATAGTCCTTACGATAACGGCTAAAATACTAATTCCCCCTTAATAGTTGAAAATGACATATCAGTAAAAGGGATAATTAATAAGCTTTCACGGTATTTTCTGTTAAGCAGTAGCAAATGAATCGAACAAGTGTTGAACGATTTGGCCATGTATGCTGTTTTTACCTGCGCTCTTTTGATGGAACTTTGTGTCGTAAAACTAAAGACTGACGGATCACAGGGTTAGTGTTGGCAAGAATCTTAACAACTACGTCTTAACAATATAGCGCTTTCCCTGTTATTGGCATATCAACTTAAGCTATGACTCTAGCTTTATTTTGTGCTTGTTTGCTTTTTGGATTTTTACTAATCATGCCAGATCTTTAAGTCTGTTGCCTTTGAAATAATTTGGTTTTATGACCGTGCAGAGGCTATGGAATGTTTGCAGCCAACTCTCTGCATTGATCTCCCAAATTTCGGTCACTTCCATCCCTGGGTCGACTTCAGTACCAATCCATCCAATCTATTTTTAATTCGGTTGGAAAGAAGAGGCGTGGAAAGGAAACATCAGTCAAAGGCTGTTTTTAAAACGATGACATCCCTGCTTTTTGTTTTGTTACCAAGATTCCCCAATCGATATTCATCCCGTTAGTTTTCATTTTTTAAGGATTTCTCCTTATTTAGGTCGAATTAAAATCCTGAGTGATATTAAGGTCAGTGTTAGAAATGACTATGGCAAAGGCTTTTAAGCGTTAAACGCTGCAGGAAATAGGTCACATTTTGAGATAACTCGCAGATAAACTCCCTGGTTTTTGTTTGGTCACCAAGACTCCCCAATCGATATTCATCCCGTTAATTTTCATTTTTTAAAGGATTTTTCCTTATTTAGGCCGCCTTAAAATCCTGAAATCTTTGAGAGTTATTAGGATCAGTGTTAGAAATAACTATAGCAAACCCTCAGTTTTAAGCGTTAAAAGCTGCAGCAAATGGGTCGCATTTTGAGAAAAATCACAGGTAAACTTCCCAGTTTGCCAGAAAAAAATATTTACCGGTACATCGTTAAGTCTGGAATAACTGCCGAACAGCTGCTTAACATCATGACGCTGAATTTTCTTCGATTTCAAATCCAAGGAACTTACTTTTCCATAACACTGGAAAATTTGGACCATTTACAGACTTCACGAAATGTCTATAAATCAGTAATTTACAGACTTGATAATTTTACTTGTTTAAAACAAAATCTCTTTAAATTTATTTTACAGACATCTTATAGATTTTTTATAGAGTTTTCGGTTTTAGGTCTTTATAAAACGTTTGTAAAATGTAAACAAATTATAAGAGCAGTACTGAGAAGAAATACTTGCAATTTACAGACTTAATAAAATGTACCAAAAATGTTTGTAAATCTACTATTTACAAATATTTTACCGAGATTGGACGTCTGACATAAGATGTCTGAATAACACTGCTGTAAATGAACACAAACTGAGCATAATAAACTCTTTGTAAATTGACGCAAACGGGTATCGTAAAATCTCTGCAAATTGACGCAAACGGGGTACCGTAAAATCTCTGTAAATTGACGCAAACGGGGTATCGTAAAATCTCTGTAAATTGACGCAAGCGGGGTACCGTAAAATCTCTGTAAATTGACGCAAACGGGGTATCGTAAAATCTCTGTAAATTGACGCAAGCGGGGTACCGTAAAATCTCTGTAAATTTACGCAAACGGGTACCGTAAAATCTCTGTAAATTGTCGCAAACGGGTACCGTAAAATCTCTGTAAATTGACGCAAACGGGGTATCGTAAAATCTCTGTAAATTGACGCAAACGGGTATCGTAAAATCTCTGTCAATTGACGCAAGCGGGGTACCGTAAAATCTCTGTAAATTGACGCAAATGAGTACCGTAAAATCTCTGTCAATTGACGCAAACGGGTATCGTAAAATCTCTGTCAATTGACGCAAACGGCACTGTAAATAAAAAGAGCCGAGTCGATCCCAAAAGCCAAATCGGCCCCAGTTTTTTGAGGGCCAATTTGGCTCATGTTGGGCCGTTTTGGATAAAAATAGCCAAATATCAGTTCGAGATGGTGCCGATTCGGCCCTTCTTATTTCTGAAATGGCCTCACTAGAGACCATTTTGGCCCTTCCTCTCAATTCGGCCCCTCTAAGGTCCAAATAAAGTGAGGACGATTCGACCCCATGAGGGGCCAATACATTCTATTACTAGTAGTAATCTCAGATTATAGGAAGTGCGTTCAAGCTGTTTTGGGTTTACTGTCAAATCAGTGTAACGTTTTTTAATTTAGATTTTAGGAGGGGCTGTTCGGGAAAATTCGCCCCCTCATTAACGCGGTAACCCATTGATAACGTGGGCGAATTTTCATTGGGTTTAGACAACATGAAGCGTAAACCTCTCGTTAATGATTACAATTTGGGTATATATATAAAAAGATATTTCCCTCCAAAAGTCGTCCTCTATTGCCCGCGCATCTTTCCAAGAGAGTTCTGCGACGAAACTTCTAATCAAGATAGATTTCACTCATGACTTCACCGCAGAGGAGGTTGTGCCTTGGCTTCGAAGCCATAGACTTTTTCTCGAGACCTACGATAGGATAGGTAAGCTCAGCAAACGGTCTGATTTCACGGCACAACGTCACTTGGAAGGTAAACCAATTAAATTGTTTGGCTTCTAGCGATCTTTTGTTACCTTCAAGAAAACGACAGTATCGACGGACAAGATCTTTTTGATCTTACTCAATACGCGGATGAGCGGCACCATTATTTTCCCAACATTACAGAGCGTCTAAAGTTCAAGAAATTGGTGATTTTTGCAGAAACTGCGGACGACCTAACTGCTTCGATGGAGGTAAACACAATAAACCTTTTTCACTTTTGCCGCCAAATGAGTTCAAAGGCTTCTGGGGCGTCTGGGGCATGTTGAGTCTCAGCGGCTGCCAGAAAAGTCATGCGTACTACTTTTGGCGCCCTCAGTTGGATAAGGCCAACGGGTTTTAACCTTCGATAAAATAATGTTCACTTTTAGCATTTGTTTTGTTTTGGTTGTAAACGTTGACTGATTTTTTTTTTTATTTCTGTGTTGTGTTTTTACTGAAAGACATTTTGGTTCTTTCTGTTTCAGTGTTCAGATGCTACATCATCTGCCATCGATATATCTCTTAGTGTTCATCAGCGGCTGGCTCGAATAACAGTACAAGTAGGCTTGATTCTCCCGATTGTGAAAAGGTCAGACTGGAATCAATGAATGTCTCTTGCCTTTGTGTTGCTGGTTTGCAGCTGAAGTCAAGTTATGTGTAGATAACAAAAGCACTTCATACGTACGATGCACGATCCTTCGCAGTAGATAGCACTATTTATGCAATAGCGAAAATCAGACCTGAAAAAAAAATAAAAAATCAGGCCTGTACGGGATTCGAACCACTGATCTCTGCGGTACTAGTGCAGCGCTCTACCAATTGAGCTAGCAAGCCAACTGGGAGCAGGGCGTTAAGTTGATTCGTAATAAACCCGTGATGATAAATTAGATACAATGAATATATGAAGTTCATATATTTTGAACTGCGGTATTAAATACGTATGATGCACGAATCCTTCGCAG